AGTAATTAGAAATATGTTAGATGTCTATTTGTGTATTTGTGTACTAAAATTTGCATGTAATTAGGATATATGTTTTTAGAAAGTATGTTTATAGGTATGAATGTTGATACAGATGCTTATGTGTTTGTAAGGTAATTTTTGTGTTTGTATTGAATTTATTAATAAAAAATTTTAAAAAAGAAAGGTGCAAAACAATTGTAGCATCCATTGAATCTTAACTAGCAGTTGCCATTCTCCAAGGGCATAAACATTCAAGAGAAGGTGGGTGTTTCCATAAGGATTTTACAAGTTGTCACTGATTTAACAAGATTTCCTTGTTATTCACTCTCTTGGCATGATTCAGCTCAACCTTCAAATGACCTTGATATTTACAGTGTTTACAAGCTGATGGTTTAGCAAACAAGAAAGAGAAATGAAACCTAACTCATTTAAAAAAAAATTGCACAAGCCTTGTTTCCTGAAATGCAGTAGTCTCAATCAATATTGCTTTTTCTATTACTATGTCCTGCAACTTGTTGCCAGGCAAAACATAACTTTTAAAACACTGTTGGGAATAGGGAAGGAAAGAAGTTTTGTTTGCATGTGTGTGTGGTTTGTTGGATTCTGCAATCTTGATTAAAGTAGCATTTTTGTGCATCTTTAGACCATTTGTGATAAAATGCACACCTCCTTTCATTTGCATAATCCCCATTTTTTAAAAAAGCAAATGGCTAAAATATGATGACCCACTAATTTTTTTAAAAAAACCTCAAACCCCTTGGTTAAATCATCCTGCAGAACCCCTAAAAGATGTGTGAGTGAATTCAAAGACAACACTTTTTTCAATTTTCCACAAAACACTGGAAGGCTTACAGGCTGCACTTCCTTCTCCATATTAGTCAATGGGGGGGATGCACAAATTAGATAAGTTTTACTAATCAGTCTGAGAGCAGCATGGCATAGTGGTTAGAACATTGGACTAAGACTCTGGAGACCAGGGTTTGATTCCCTGCTCAGTCATTAAAACTATTGGGTGACCTTGGGCAAGTCTCATGCTCTCAGCCTCAGGGGAAGCCAATGGCGAACCCTCTCTAAACAAATCTTACTCCCCCCCAAAAAAACTGTGATAAGGTCACCATAAGTCAGAAACGACTTCATGGCACACAATAACAGCAATCAATCCAGGAATTCAAAGAATATGTCTTTAAAACTGCTGATTGCAGTGCAGGATGCAAGCAACAAGACCTGCAAACTAAAATGACACAAAGATGGAAAGAAAATGCAGGTAGGATTCAGAGACATTTAATGAGATAAACTCATAATCATTTTCAAATCCTTGGTTGGGAAGGTGGCCATTGTGATTCTGATTGTTGAAGGTTCTAACCATGACAGAAATAAATTTTGGAACTGGTATTGGAATTTACAGTTTGATTCTCACTGTCAGCAGACATCTCCACCATTCTTTCCACTTTCAATTCCTTTATAAATCTAAGTAAAAGAAAGAGAATGGTGTTGCCATCGTAGTCTGACCAAAGACATTTTATTGTTTGATTGCAGCAGCAATACAGTCAGCTCTCCAAATCCATGGATTCTGCATTGATAGAGTCAAACATCCATAGCTTAAAAATATTCCATAAATAAATAAATAAAATCCCTAGGTATACAACTCATTTTTTGGTGAATGCTGCTGTGAGATGATGTACCAGGGGTAGGCAACCTTTCTCCTTTAAGGGCTGAGGGTCTTCAGCTCCCAGAATCCCAGGAGCTATTGGCCAACATGGGACTATTGGCCAACATGGCTGAGGCTTCTGGCAGCTGAAGTCCCTTGGCCCTTAAAGGGGAAAGGTTACCTACCCCTGACGTAGACTCTATCGTAGGTGGTAGCAAACATGGGTGTGCAATGCCAGTACCCTGGTGAGATCAAACTCTTATACTCAAAAAGGCTCCAAAGCTGAATGTAAAGTCCAAAAGGAGGAAATTTATTTTGAAGAACAAAAGAAAAAGGGTTTCTCCTCCCCAGCTCTAATAGGCTTAAAATAAAAGGTACTTTACAGTTTAGGTTTCAGAAATCTTCAGGGTTGTCATCTCTCTGAGCTTGATCTTGGTTTGATATCCTTCTCAATGAAGCTGGTGCAGGGTCTTTCAGCTTCTGGTGCTCTTGACTTCTTTTTTGTTGATGTTTAATAGAATTAACTGCTTCTGGTAATTAAATTGGCTAATGTGGTAACTAAATTAGCTAATGGTGTCTAAATTGGCTAAATCAGGGGTAGGCAACCTTTCCCCTTTAAGGGCCGAGGGACTTCAGCTCCCAGAATCCCAGGAGCTATTGGCCAACATGGGACTATTGGCCAACATGGCTGAGGCTTCCAGGAGCTGAAGTCCCTCGCCCCTTAAAGGGGAAAGGTTGCCTACCCCTGGGCTAAATGGTAAGTAAAATTGGCTAAATGGTGTAAGAAATGCCATTTCCCTCTGTCTGAGCCTGTTTGCCACCAAACAGATAAAGCCAAGCCTGCCTAAGAAAAAACTAAAAATGCCAAGCTGAAACAGAGCTTGCTGGGAAGGGGCAAACCAAAAACTAGAAACATGCAGGGGATTCCTACAGATCCTCCCACAAACTAATACAGTGGAACATTCCTATGCTCAAACATACTAAACTGAAATGAAGGAAAATGCAGGGGAGAATTTAAACAGTCCAGGCTGGACATCACAGCATTGAATGACCATGCAAAGGCGTAGGAGCACTCTAATTCTACTCCCCCTGTTGTCACTTGGCTATGTAAAAATCAATGTTCTAATTTTAATTCTAATGAAAATAAAGACTTTTTCTTTTTTCTCTCCCTCCACCCCAGTTTTGGTCTTGACTGTCAAAGTGTTTTGTCATTGTAAATGTTTCATGTTTTGCCTGCCAAGCAGGATGAACAAGCATTGATGAGCACTTCTTTTTATTTTCTACTTGTTACCTGTGCAAAACATATTTCACTCTCCACTAACCTGTTGGATGTTGAGAGAAGGGGAGAGGAGGCACAGAGTCTCATAAGTTACACACATTTGCCTCACCTTGAAGGACAGCAAAGTTCAATGAGTGGCTGGCATAAAGGGGGACTGGGATATTTCATTTCATCTAGTCGTCATTCAAGCACATTTTCTTCATGGTGGCCATCTGCAACTTAATCTGGTGGTTCTAAATTCCTGCTAGGTAAAAGCAGAAATTAAACCAATCCACTGCTACAGATGAAAGCTAATTTTGGACCCAAATGTTAATTTATTTTTAAATGCTCACTTCTTCATTTAAATTTTCATGGCACTATGTAGGTGAGTAAAATGGTATTATGATCATCAAAAATGAAGCATAATAGCAGATGAAGTATTAGAACAAGCAGTCCAAACACTTTTTTAAAAGGAGTGGAAACTATACTTGTTCATCATTTCAGGCTATGCATTTTTCTCCCAAAACTGCTCCTATCTCAGCTTCTTTTTTAATACACACACATACACACACATTTGCATTTGCATTTCCTAATATCCAATTCCCTACAACAAAGAGAGCAAAAACAGAGAAAGTATGCATAGATTTGATTGCTGCGGTACTGAATAAACATTATGCAATTTTCATGAAATTTCACTTATCTCCCATGGTTGCCAATTTCTTATTTTAACACGACAGTTGGTGGCTTCCATGTCCATTTAGTAGTGAATATTTATGGGGGCTGAACCTATTCTGGAGAGAAGACTCAAATTTTTGGAGAGCTCCTTTGGGCCAAAATCTGCACCAGATTCACTTCCCCATGGACATAGAGACCACTAGTTACCAGGGCTCTACCGTATTTGATTAATCTTGGTACCTACTTTCTTGATGTTTTTAAGACATTTGATTATTTATTTAAAGAACATTATCAGCTCTCCCCCCACCCCCAGGGTGGTTTACAAATGTTAATCCATCCTTGGTGCTTCCATTGTGCTGGTTTGCAAATTTAATTCACACATAAGAGACTTCTTACAGATTCTGGGGCCTGTCTATGGGCATAGTACAGATTGCTGCCTAACTTTAAAAGTTTTCTCATCAAGAACCACAAACTTTGCCAGAGAGATACAGACAAGGGAATGAGATTATGGAGACTATCACATGAGGAAAAGGATGGAAGCGAAGCTCCCATCCTTATCACACAATTGTATGAAGATTATCAGATGACGTTGCACTTATTCTGTCATTATCCCATCCTTATGCTGTCTGTATCGTGTGATCACACAAAGATTATCAGACATCATCATGCTTATCCCATTCTTCTCCCATCAGTAAAGTGGAATGGCCAGAAACTTTCCTCCATAATATTCACTTTCTCCATCTTGGGATGTACCTCTGGTAGCTTTGCACACACTTTTGGCCAGATAGCCCCTGGACTGGCAAGGATGTGCCTAGATATGTCTCTGCTGCTGTCTGGGACATTTCACAAGCTAGGTTCTTCAGCAGTCCACCCACTTTGTGGATGCCCTTCCTCTGCATACTGTGCAGCAGTGCTTTTGAGCCACTTGCAGACTTTTGTAATGGCTTATCATGCAATCATTCCTGTTCTTGTGTGAAGATCCCTGTGTTTTCATCAGCTGAATATCAGAATAACCTTCACAGTTGTTCTTTGGTCTGCATGAAAGAGCTGCCTTAAGGCTTCCATTTGCTGCTGCAATGCCTTTATTCACTGCCGGTTCTGCTGCCTGAAGGCCTCTACTTACTGCTCCATTTGTTGCTAACTCTGGTGGAATATCAGCATCATCTGCTTACGGTGAGAGGAGGATTGGATGTGATGGGCTAAGGGTCCCCTTCCAACTCTATGTTTCTTTGATTCTGTGCTCCAGGAATGTTACTGTTTCTCCAACCATTGTAAAACATGTACATCTTATCTCATAGCTCCTCTTCCAGGAAACATGGCCCCACATCTACTGACATTGTAGTATCTTGACACAAGAAATTTCAGGGTATGCAACATTTTCAGGGACAGTTTCCTTAGAACTGATGTCATGCCCAACCAGGTTGAGGACATGGAGGACTCAGAGGATGAGGAGGCTGAGCCAGGTCCTAGCTTTGTTCTACCAGTTCCAGTGGAGTTGGCTGAGCCTGGACCTAGCTCTGTTGTACCCACTGAAGCACAGCATCTGCCTCAGCAGCCTAGTCTCTCCCCAACAGAAAGCCTCCCCCCAGCAGAGGTTCCAGGCCTGAGAGATATAGAGGAGCAGGATGAGGAGGTACCTACCTTTAGACAGAGAAGGACAGAAAGGGCGTGCCTCCGCCGTTCTCTGAGATTATATGAGAAATGCTCTGCTAAGTCCAAACAGCTGTGATTGGGAGCTGGGCAATATAAACAGCTGGGAGATGCCAAGTTCCTCTGTCAGAGCTTATCTGTGTTCCCTGGAGAAAGCATCAGACTCTGACTCCTTGACTTCATAGCCCTCGGATTGCCTTGAAACCCCTGACCTTTGGACTGGACTCGACAACCTACTTGCTAGAACCCTTGACCTTGGACTGGACTTATTGACTTGCTCTCTAGACTCTTGAACCCTTGGCTTGATCCTGATTTTGCTTCTTGGAACATTTGGACTGATATTGTACTTTGTGAACTGACTTTGTGTTTCAGACTTGCATTAGTGTGCTGGCTCTTATCAGTTACTCGGCTGCTTTCTCGGACAACTGGGAATAATGAAGCCCTCCAGATGCTGTTGAACTGCAAATCCTCATTAACTTCATCATTCCCTGAGCTAACTAGGGCTGGTGGGATTTGAAATCCAACAACATCTAGAAGGTCACATAATTCCCACTCCTGACTTACAAGAAAGCCTTTGTGGAAACTATTTAACACATTTGTGAAATAGCATTTAAACCATAGAAATGCCAAATATAGGCTGAACATAGGATGACATTTCCTAATAATTAGCACTACAATAGATTTCCCTATCAGATTTCCAGTGAAATTCATAGTGCAGCATGATTTTTTACTATGAGCAAAGCCAAATTTGTCTCTCATTTGGATCTAGTTCCAGCATATACACACAGGAGACCTTACTCTTTCCTCTTGTCTAGTGAGGGAATAAAAAAATGAGTCATCTCCTGCATCACCTTTGCTTTCTTGGACCATCCAAGCTCACAGTGAAATACATCATCAGAATGTTAATGTTTAATAACTGTCTGTTGTCATCTCTTAACAGCATTGCCTCAAGGCAACCACACTGATAGCTCTACATACAGAAATTTTAGAGTCAAGAATTACAGAACTAATCAGGAGTCTGAATTTCTTTGCAGTCCAAGGCACTGGTTCATAAAGAACCTTTAAAAGGTCAGATAGACCAACTTCAATCCCACAACAATAATTTGAGGCTATGTTGCCAACCAAAGATCATAACATTGTTTTTGGACTACAAAATAAAAACATAACTGTAATAGTAAATGCAGTAATGCAAAGAAGAGCCAAACTAACACATAGCAACATTATTTCATCAACTTGCCTTATGATTGCAAGCAAAACTGTCAGTGTGCATGACAATATGGAATCCAACACATTCTTCAAGTGCATCTGCCCATTTGCCTTATGTGGATTTTGTGTCATCATACACATGTGCTTGCTTTTCTGAGGATTGACTCCACCCTCATACAAAGTAAAGCAACCTGATTTATAGGGTTTTGTGGGTTTTTCGGGCTGTGAGGCCATGTTCTAAAAGAATGTATTCCTGATGTTTTGCCTGCATCTGTGGCTTCAGAGAAGATGCCAGCCACAGATGCAGGTGAAATGTCAAGAATACATTCTTTAGAATATGGCCTCACAGCCTAAAAAGCCCACAAAAACTTATGGATGCCAAACATGAAAGCCTTTGACTTCAAACCTGATTTAGCTTTAATCAATAGGATTTGCAGTCCAGCACATGCATTGATTTACAGACCTGACAATACAGAGAATTTTCTGAGAGACAGATTGCAATCTTCTGCCATAGGCCTCATGTTAGATACAAGCAAGTACAATTCTAATGGAACAGAGTTTTAATTTAAACACTGGGAAGAACTTCTTTCATGTAAAGGCTGTTCAGCAGTAGAACAGATTGCATCAGAAAGTGGGAGAGTCTCCATTTTTGGAGGTCTTTAAATGGAGGAAAATGAGCATCTTTCAGGCTTGCTTGAGCTATCTATTTCTACATGGCAGAGGGTTGGACTAGTTGAACCTTGTGGACTCTTTCAGTTCTATGATTCTATGATTCTGCAAGTCTGATGCTTTATAATGTCAAAGTGAGAAGCTAAGCTCTATTGCCTCTGTTTTACTGCCTCTGTTCTCATTCACTTTAGAACCATGGGGTGGATTTACTTTTCCTTTATACACACTTTCTATTAGATCTCAAAACAAGAAAACAGACTGTGGCTATAACATTTCCTCCTCTGCATTGTATTTTACCATCTTTGTCTAGAGAAGAAGTCTGAGTACACTTCAGCACAATATAATGTTTGCCTTTTGGTTGCCCCAATAAAGTGGATTTGGGATTATATCCTATTGTTTATAGCTACCTTGGAACTTTCTTCTAGAGAAATAATTCTACCATACCTGCTGCCATGGTGTCTCCGCTGCTTAGAGAAGGTTAGGGAAGTCTGCCATCTGGTTATTGAAGATGATGCTACAAGCTATCAGCTGATAGATATTAAATGACCAAATTTAATTAATTGATTTTTAAAAAAACAAATAGCTCTGAGGTACATAATGTTCCCTTAGTACCTATGCCAACTTTCAGAGATCCAGCTTTCTCACATTTGGAAGTGTGGCAAAGATATACAGCAATGAAACACATATTGTCTTTTATTATTATAGATGTTGTTTTTCTTCCAGTTCATTATGAAAAGAACCACAGGTGTATGTACTGATTTTTTTATAAAAAATAATAATCCAGGAAAGAGATGGAGGTGAAGCCTTTACTTTTACTGATCACTATTATTCCTCTGTTGTGTTCTACTTTCAGGTTTTATATTTTATAGTTTATTTTTTTCATAGTATTTTCATGTGTGGCCTAGAAAAATATAAAATTATGGAATTAGTTCATTGGCTCCTGTTGTTGTTGTATTCTTATTGTCAAGAGAGGGACATATAGCATTTTCCAAAATTTGGAAATCACATGTTGCTCATTGGCTTTCTTATTGACAAAAGTTAATATTGTTATAGTGATTAACACAAATGGCCCTTTTCCATGTATTGACTAGTATTTACATACTGGTTCAAACAACATCTTTCTGTTTCTTATTTAGAGACAAAACTGTGTGCTACCTACCTTATACTTTATGAGGTAGCCAAGGGGAATTCTCAAACAGGATATAAATAATATTTTCATTTTTTTACATGGATTGTCATAACGTATCCTTGGACAACTCAGATGAAGAGGAGGAGGAGGCCGTGTTTAATTCTCCTGTTCCAATATTGTTTACAGTCTCACTGATAAATACATGTTCTGGATGTGTACCTAAAATTCTGGATAATAGCACACATCTGAGGAAGGGGACTGTAGGCCATGAATGTTTATGGCATAATAAATTTGTCAGCATTCCCCCCCCCCACATGGAACTTTTTGCCAAAAAAAAAAAAATCACTAGAAGACAGGCACAACTCCTTCATCAGTGATAGATTTCATTTTAATATATTACCCCCAAATTGCTCCATGCCTTTGAACATAGGTTGCTGAGCACTTCCACTTTTTCTTAAGTGCACCCAATATTGCTCCACCAGTTCCTCACACATGTCAAGTGGATGTTGCTTTTTCAGCATTTTTATGCCAACTGTTTCCTTTGCTGTTTAGTATCCCTGAAATGTTTGGTGCTACACAATACATCAGCTGCTGCTCAATCGATCTGATGACCTCATTTTGTTTACCCTAACTTTCCAGATCAGAAAGTTTCCTGGACCACTATCCTCCAAATTGAAAATCTTGTTAATGATGGATTGTTAGTTTACCTCCCACAGCTTTTTCAGGGAAGGGGGAAGGGGGAGTAATGGATAGCCGAGGAAGTCTCCTAGTCAGGTCGATACCTTCATTAACTACATTTAATTCATCCAATTTGACTGATACATTAGCAGTAGAATGAGGTCAAGGTAAAGTCCAATCAGATGTTACAATGATTCTCTGAACTCCATGGCATTTCTATGGATTAGGCTGTCTCAGCATGGTTAATTGGATTTCTGGGCACCCAAAGAGAAAGCCTTTCATCTTGGAAAAATGTATTGTGTAGGAAATAGAGATTGTGACTGTATCCAGCACGTTGATTGTAAGTCTTATTACAGCAGATGCTGTGGAACAATGGCTATATAGTAAGGAGTTTGAATTTTGCAGTTGCAGAAATCTTAAATGAACATTCAAAAGATGGTTGGGAAGCCTCAGAATAGATAATGGGTGCACAAAACATCAGTTGTTTTGTGTCAATCATAGCAAAACCTTTATATTTGCCACTAGCTCAATCCTACTGATGACAATAACTGTCAACCCACTGAATTTACTTCCATGTTGACTCAACATTTAGCAATCAATCCAGTATACTACTTTATTGTGTGCCTTCAAGTTTTTTCTGACTTATGACAACCCTAAGGTGAACCTATCACCAGGTTTTCTGGGACTGAGAGTGTGTGACTTGCCTAAGGTTACCCATTGGGTTTCCATAGGTAGATGGGGAATTGAACCCTGATCTCCAGAGTCATAATCCAATGTTCAAACCACTACACCACACTGCCTCTACTCTATTAGTCTAGTTGAGACTAATCAATAGGATTCATGCCTATATTAATATTTCAAACAATGGTTCCTGTGGTTTCTGTTCTGTGAGTGGCAAATTCACTCTGTGTTTCAGTCTAAACTTATAACTCATTGTCAATGGTGCTGAACTCTATTCCCAAAATAAGTTCAGTGCCTTAGATAGTTCCTTTAAAATTCAGGCTAAAATATGCAGTAGATTTAGGGTTCCAGTGACAAGGGATCCATGAGTCACCACTGGTCCCAAGAAACATTTTTCCAAGCAATGGCTACAGACTAATGATAAAGAATGAAGTAGGGTTGGTTGAAGTTTTCGTATGGTTCATTTTCCAAAATTCTCCAATGACTGCAAATTTCCTAATAATTTTAGTGAAAAGAACATGAATGTTCATTCATATATTTTTTCCTGTGGGAGAAATCAAAACATCAACGTTCAACCAACCAGCCAGAGGACTTTGAGTGTTTAGTTTTTTAAAATCTGCCTCTTTAAAATTCTGTTATTCAGTCATATTCTTGATCCTGATTAAGGTTGCCACCTCTTTTCAAAAACATTCCTCATCTTTAACAACCACACACCTTGTAGGAAGAATACAATACAATAAGTAAATTGGCTAAATGGTAAGTAAATTGGCTAAATCAGGGGCAGGCAACTTTTCCCCTTTAAGGGCCGAGGGACTTCAACTCCCAGAATCCCAGGAGCTATTGGCCGACATGGGACTATTGGACAACATGGCTGAGGCTTCTGGGAGCTGAAGTCCCTCACCCCTTAAAGGGGAAAGGTTGCCTACCCCTGGGCTAAATGGTGTGTAAAATTGGCTAAATGGTGTAAGAAATGCCATTTCCCTCTGTCTGAGCCTGTTTGCCACCAAACAGATAAAGCCAAGCCTGCCTAAGAAAAAACTAAAAATGCCAAGCTGAAACAGAGCTTGCTGGGAAGGGGCAAACCAAAAACTAGAAACATGCAGGGGATTCCTACAGATCCTCCCACAAACTAATACACTGGAACATTCCTATGCTCTAAACTGAAATGAAGGAAAATGCAGGGGAGAATTTAACAGTCCAGCATTGAATGACCATGCAAAGGCATAGGAGCACTCTAATTCTACTCCCTCTGTTGTCACTTGGCTATGTGAAAATCAATGTTCTTATTTTAATTCTAATGAAAATAAAGACTTTTTCTTTTTTTTCTCCCTCCACCCCAGTTTTGGTCTTGACTGTCAAAGTGTTTTGTCATTGTAAATGTTTCATGTTTTGCCTGCCAAACAGGATGAACAAGCATTGATGAGCACTTCTTTTTATTTTCTGCTTGTTACCTGTGCAAAACATATTTCACTCTCCACTAACCTGTTGGATGTTGAGAGAAGGGGAGAGGAGGCACAGAGTCTCATAAGTTACACACATTTGCCTCACAGCACCTTGAAGGTCAGCAAAGTTCAATGAGTGGCTGGCAATACAATACTCTCCGTAGTAAGAATAGCTGTAGCTATTGAATTTTGGCCAGTACAGATGGCTGAAAATCTTGTTTCATTCTTTCCTGATAAGGACATGCCAGCATTCAAAAATCTCTTCATAAATTTGAAGGAAACTACAGGAGGTTTTAAAAATTGCAATGTGAGTGTGAAAATGATAGACTAATCTATCCCATAGAGACAGAAAGAGAAAGAGACACTGTTGTGCAAATGAGCAAATTAATTTCACAGAATAAGGAAGGAACATTTGTGAGACCTAATAAAAACACAACAGCTTGCTGGTCTTATGGCCTTTTTACAGTGTACAATCACAGCACACAATCATAATACTATGATTCTATGTTAACTGCCACAACAACTTCCCATTGAATCCTTTGTAGTTTCTCAAGCAATAGTGCTCCCTGGCTAAGAAATCTAAATGTACTTCCCTAAACTGCAAACTCCAGGATTAAATAGGATGGAACTAGAGCCCACTCATAGTGCTATAACTGTGTGGTACAAAAGGGCCATCTATTTTGGAGGGGGAATATGATGAACATTCTCATAATCATACTGGATAAAACAGTGGTGAACAAAGGGTAACTCTGAGGTGGAATTCAGCCTCCAAAGCTGTTGTTACAGCCTTAGAATACTTTTTAGAATACAAAATTTCCCAGCCTGACTTTTCTTCAGGAGCAGTGATTAACCTCTTAAAAGGGGTGTCCATCTGTTCTCCTTGCACTATTTAATAAGAATACCTGCTCTTCAAAAACAGGAGTTGACATCTGCCCTGATGTGGGTATTATGTTTTCATTTGAAATCATCTATGTGATTCCCAGCTTGGTCAGGAAACTCACTGGGTGACCTTGGGCATGTCACATGCTCTCAGCCTCAGGGAAAGGCAATGACAAATCTCCTTTGAACAAATCTTGCCAGAAAGCTCCATAATGGATTCACCTTAGGATTGGCATAAGACACAAATGACTTAAAGGCACACAACAACCATCCCCCCCTCCCGAGAATCCCAGAGACAGAAAACTGATTCCCAAACATGGACCCAGTTGTCCAGAACAGATATAGAAGATGGTAGATGCATCGTACTTAATATGAGTTAGGACTGTGTATTGGACATTCTTTACTTTGGTTTTGTGCTGATATCTGACCTTGGATGAGGTATGACATAGACTGATGCTGTGATCTACACTACATATGAAACAATAATCTAGAAAACAATGTCATCGTCTTCTTCTTCTCCTCCTTCTCCTCATTCTTTTACGCCTTCAGGTCTTTTTAGGGCAAACATAAGGTAACCCTATCATGGTCTTTTCTTGGCAATTTTTTCCACAGGGGGTTTGCCTTTGCATTCCTTTGGAGCTGAGATTATGTGATTTGCTAAGTGCATTTCCATGGCTAAGCAGAGAGTCAAACCTTGATTTCCAGAGCCATAGTCCAATGCTCAAACCACTACACCACACTGGGTCTCTCAAAAAATACCTACCCTCACAAAAATTGTATTCCTCCAGCTTATTAATTCATGGTTCACCATTGCATACCTTTTCACATCAGCCACTTCTTAAGATAGGCTGGCATGTAAAACATGAACACTTCTGCTTAGGCTGCACTAGAATATTTTTCAGCAGCTTCCACTTGCAGGCTCATACATAAAACAGGAATGCAATCAAAGTAATCAAAATTACTGAAGCTGTTCAGATTGCATTAAAAATAACCTGAAGAGATTTCCTGAGTTTCAGTGGTGACATATTCCTGGAGGAGGGGGTAATAGTTGGAGCAGATTATTTTCTATATCCAGAGCTCAGAAACTCTTCTGCATTCAGTGTTCCTCACAGCACTCTTTAGATTCTATACTATCTAACCTTTCACTGCTGAAAATAGAGTCATTGTATGCATTATATCTGAAAATATTCTTAGCCTTATTCCAAGGATTGCTGCCTGAACCACACACACACTTTGCTGCAGCACAGCTTCAGGCTACAAATGGGAGAGAATTTCATTTGGTTCACATTTCAAAAAGGATTTGCAAAATACAGACTTCTCAAATCAATAAGTGAAGCAGAACAGTTTATCCTTCAGTACCACTATTCATACTTTTCAGAAGTTTGTGATATAATTCTCCAAACTACAATTACAATGGGCCTTTGGTGTCTGCTGCAATTTGGTTTCAGGACCTCCCCATGGCTACCAAAATCCATGGATGCTCAAGTCTCATTAAATACAATGACATAGTAAAATTGTGTGCCTTATATAAAATAGCAAAATCAAGGTTTACATTTTGGAATGTATGCATTTTTTTAATATATTCAAGACATGGATGCTTGAATCTGTGGATATGGAGGGCCACCTGTACTTTAAGGCTGAGGAATACTGAGTAACATACTTAGGAAAAACAACAGAGAACTAGTTTAAGATGTCAGAAGAGCTGGGTTTGAATCTCCATTCAGTTATGCAAATGCACTGGATGACCTTGAGGAAATCATATTTTCTGTGTCTCAGCGAAAGGCAGTGGCAAACCTTCACTGAATGACACTTTCCAAGATAATCCCATAATAGCTTCACCTTAGAGTTGCCATAAATTGAAGATGACTTGATACCCAACAACAACATGTATGCATTAGACAAATGTGGGTACTGGTTTATTTCCCAAAAAAAAGTACACATATTTTTGTGCTGCCTTCTTTTTAAATAAAAACTCCAAATTGGTACAGAAATGGGCAGAAGAAATTAAAGATGAGAACTCGGAAATCAAACCAAAAATGACAGATCTGTCCAGTTCTTTATTTCATATTCACCTCTTTCTTTTGCTTTGAAAGCAAGGTATGACACTTTAACTGGTCTTGAGAAATGTTTTGACCAATAGATTTTGGAGGAGCATTCCCCACCTCATGGATGAAAACAACTATATTTGCTTTTCTGTGTATGCCTAGAAGAGTCAAACCACAGAAAATGTTAAAATACTTGGTCTAGAATGCTGTTAGTTTTTATGTTAGCAAAACCTTGGGTTACACTTGCAGAATTACTTTTTCCAGCATTGTATGAAAAGTATTCAGGATTTCCTTAAATGACAGTTTTACTAGACAACTCAATGGCAGTACTTGGGGTTAAACACCATTCATGGGTTTAACCGCATGGTTAAAGGTTTTGCTAACATAAAAACTAACAGCATTCTAGACCAACTATTTAACATTTTCTGAACAGTACACTGGGAAAACTGAACAGTACACTGGCATCACCCAGCTGGCTACCCTCATCTTTGTCCACCAGCATCTTCAGTTCCACTTTATTTATGATTTATGCCATAGTGTGCAGCTGATACGTTCATTTAAGAAAAAAAAATATTGACAAACATAATTGTGTGGGTCTTGACCCAGATCAAGACCTGCATGCATGTGTTGAAGAGATCTAAATTCTTCTCTCCTCAACTGATTCATCTCCCCACTCCTACAGATGAACTAAAAAGGGAAAAAGAGGAAAGAAAAACCTCCTTGGGTGCCAATGGATGTAATCCCCTCAATTTT